GCCTGACTGGCTACGAAAAGGCGCAGGAGTTAATAAATCTCTGCTCGGAGGGCGCAAGAGGGAGGAGGAGGGGGATAATTGACCAAAAGAAAAAACAAATCATCCAGGATACCCCAACACCGCCCGAGGCTCCGTGAACGCAGTGATGCCTCAAACAAGCTTCGACCCCCCCGTTCCGAAGAGACAAACGCACAGACCGGCCCACTGGGGGCAGGCTGTTTTTTGCCAGAGCTCCATACCCCCGTCCACAATTCGGCCTGTCACAGGGGTCGCTGCGCTACCTGGGACGGGGGAGGAGGATGAGGATGGAGAGAAAGGGGAAGGAGGATAATGGCAATCGTGTATGAGGTTTGCCGCGGCGTTGGCGTCATATATCGTGGGAAACGTTTTCGTGGCTGTCCGTGCTGCTCAACAACGATCCCGAGAGAGAGAGAGAGAGGGCAGCGACGAACACGGAGGAGAGGAGACAATGGAGAAACAGTAGAACATGAGATGTCGATTGAAGGCGGATGTTTTGCTCCGGGGTCAAAACGGCAAAGGCAAGGGGAAGCGACGACTGGCTACCTTTCGAGTCTGGTGCTCAAGCGAATATGATGTGCCTCGTCGGTCGCCGCGCGCAACACCCTCATATAAAGTTGCCAGCACAGGCTAGCAGGGCGCGATTGATTTTAGCATTCCTCATTCACATGCGTGCTCGACTTTTCCCTCGCCTACTGCCCCAGGGACGTAGTTTTCGGTGGCGACCCGCTCCCCTCTCCGAGGCCGTGGGCTGCAATGACAAAACTGTGCAAGCCCAGGCCACCATTGCCCGTGATATTGGACGATCCATTGACTGTGTCATTCTGGTCGCCCTTGCGCAAAGGTGTCCAGCCTCGCCAGCACAACCGGACGCCGTATTCGCGAACGTAGTCCCGGAGATTCGCGCTTTTGAACAATCCTTCTCCATCAAGGTGAGGTCGCTGTTGGGAGCGGGGCGCGAGCTTCTTGTGCCCTTCCTCGCACAGTTTCAAGGTGTTGTAGTCGTAGCTGAACTGGCCGTTCGTGATGTCCACTATCAATTCCTGGCCGATGCTTCCCTTGGTCGGCCCGCATGTCGCGAGTGCCGCACCATGATATGTCCTCAATGTGCTTGGTGCGGGGCTGATCTGATAACCGCCATCGATGGCCAGCCATGCTCTTCTCGGACGGCGGCCAATGCCGCGAAGGCGGACGTCCTGTCCTCGGCAGGGATCGCAGGCACATCGTAACACCGCTGCTCGCTCAGTTTCCTGATCTCGTCGGCTGAGACGGGCCCGCGGATCATCTCGTGGAGCGTCAGGCGTTAGGCTTGCAGCGCGTCCGCTCCTCCGCAAGCTGCGAGCAACTCTGAGCCGAGCGAAGACTTGCGCGCAAGCTTGTGTAAGCGCCTCACTACGTCGAGCAAATGGCAGGCTTCCTTGCCGGTGTTGCGGCTCTTGCCCAAACGCATGCAAACGGCGCCTCGCATGCCGTTCCCAGTCTCCTCCTCTCTCTTGAAAAAACCGTCGCTGTGTGCGCGGAGCTGGGAGGCGCATCCCATGGCAGGAAAGGCAATGTGCGCCTTGATCTTCTGCGTGGCCCGGACAATTCAATTGAGCTGCGTCGCGTGGCGCATGAGCAGTTTTTGCTTGGCCCTCTGCAGTGCCGCAATTTAGGCGGCGACGTGGTGCTGGGGCAGCAGGGCGTGCGCTGCTCGACATGATCTCAATCGTCCAGTGAAACTTGGCCCCCTGTCGCACGGGCGTAAGCGCCCCCTGTCTTGGGCGCCCGAGTTATCCGGGATAACTCGGGTCCGGGGTAACTCGGGTTTGGATTCCCGAAAAAGGAACCCGAGTTAGCCCTGACCCGAGTTACCCCTGATGAATTGGGGCTCTGGGCGCCCGAGTTATCCGGGATAACTCGGGCTGGGGTAACTCGGGTTCGGAATCCCAAAAAGCGAACCCGAGTTAGCCCTGACCCGAGTTACCCCTGATGATTCGGGGCTCTGACTGTCGGAGGAACTTGGCGCGCAGTTGGGCAAGAGGCACAAGGAGGAGGGGAAGCACGAGGAGGAGCAAGAGGATGAGGAGGACGTCGCCATCCTACTCCAAACCCCATCTCCTCCTCAGGCCTGGGGGGAGCCCGGAGACGCGGCGAGACGACCGCCGCAAAACCTGCCCACCCAAAACAACACGGCGGCGGGGGCGAACAACCGGTTTGCGTCGTGGTGACCTCGTCGTTGGTTGATGACACCGCGTGGATCGTTCAACCGTGAACCGCTGGCGGCCCTCCTATCGTCAGATCGTTCCATATTGGCTGATAGTGGGCCACTGGCGGCGTTCAACCTTGAACTCCCGCGGCGGGGTCGCCGCTGCGTGGACACGGCGCGAACATGCCATGCTTACCTGTTCTCTTCCCTTTCCCTGGCGCTGGCTAGGGGCGAGGGTGTGAAGGCTTCGAGCAGCAACCGACGCAACCCGCAGCGACAAGGACTGAAGGGGTG